TAGGAGAAATGAGAAAATTGGGGGACTTAAATGGGGAAACTGTGGTGGAAGGGTTAGACAATGTGAGTGATAAATAATGCCTAGCTAGTTTAAAAAAAAGAAGAAACCATATTATTCGAACAACCTACTGACAAATTATACAGCTAGCTTAAGGAATATAATACACGCCTAGTCAAGGTATATCTGTTTTGGTCTTTGCCAAGATTTATCTACATAGCACATGGTAATTAAAAATACCAGACTCGAGGAACTAACCTTGGATGTTTAACAGACATACTTTTAGTTCTATAATAATTTGGTCAGAGGGACTTAAAGGACAGTTTATGTTCCTTGCCCTCCTAGGGGAAGGGACTAGTTCCAGGGGACTATGAGCATCTCCCAAAATGTCCTATAATGGTGGTGGCTCACCTGTCCTCTTCATCAAGGAGACCCCACCAGATGGACTTGAACCAGTGTCCAGTCTATAAAGAGGAAGGTCAACACAGAGGAATCATTTCCTCCATGCTTCCAAGCGAAGCCAATCATGGTCGAGCAGGACCTTTGACTTATCTTCACATAGGTGGAAATAGTAAAAGAAAGTAGCCAGGGCTCCTCCCAAGCCCATGTGACCCCTGAGGAACAGATCCCCCAAATGACCTTAAGAGTAAAAAATCGGTTTATCTGGCCCAACTGTATGGCCTTAAACATCCAAAAGTAAAGTATAACCAAAGATTAAATGGGCCAACATAACTTCATAAGAGTCCATATGTATAGCTAAAGGCTACATAATAAGCACCAATGCCAGATAGGAGATACCTTCTTTTGAGTTGTTGGCCAGGGTGGCCCAAGGGATTCCCAGATAGTAACCAGCACAGAACTGGGAAATGAACAGCAGACCCCAATCTTATCCAAAGGAATATAGACAACTGATTACTGCCAGATGAGGAACAGCTTACCCTTCTAAAACAAAGACCTCTAGCTAGGCTGACTAGATTCACCAGAAGGGCAAGTAGTGGGGAATGGCTGGGGGTGCCGACAACACAGCAGACAGTAGCACAGATATCAGAGTATAAGGGCTCTAGTGGGGAGAGGGAAGCTGTGGGAGGGTTCCATCTGGGAAGTGGGTGTATAGTTGAATAAGATGGTTTGGGATGTTGAGTATATGGGCTCCACTAGGCAGGGGGACTATGGGAGGGTGCCACTTGGGATGTGGGTATACAGATGAATAAGATTTTTTAGGATGTTCTATATGAAATACACACAAAAAAATCAATAAATAAAAAATGAGTTATATTTGAAGAAGCATAAAAATTTGCTTCATGTTAATTAGTAAATGTGAAAAATATTATCATTGAAATCTACCTGATGACTTTATATCTATGCTCAGATGCCAAGGAGCTCAGAAAGTAATTGACTGTGACTATCAGATATATAGAGATTAGAAATGCATGTGCAAACATCTTAGCATCAATTGCATTAAAAATAAGTTTTTTGTATGGAACAGTATATTCTAAAATGAAATGGAGATCTTTTTAAAGGTTAAAACATCATTCAATTTTATGTCTTATAGGGTTTATACTGAGTACAATAATGAATAGCTGTGTTAATTCAACACCGTGAACCTAAAAATTACAGCCAATTTCAAAAGAGTCATTTTTGCTTTGGAAACTTATTGACTATGTCAATGCTGTTGTAATGAAATGCTTCTACTAATTATGTGGTTATTAAATAAAATTTAAAAAAGAAAAAAAAATAAGAAATACCATAATGTGTGATACTGTTAGAGTGTCAGCTGTATCTGCCCCAGTAAGTGATGAGAATTAATATTATTAAAGACACATTGGTCCATTTACAAGTTTGCTGGATAGCCATTCAAGAGATTTCTGTAACTAGCTAAGTTAAATATCTATAATCTTGAGATTTAGAGTCTGTACTCTAATAAAAAAGGTCATATTCTCAGATGAGATAATTTGAAGAATTAATTGACTGAAAGAGCAGCTAGGTCCTTACCAGGAAGAAAACATACCTTAGAAATACCTCCCCTAAGTAGGCTTTCCTTAATGGAAAATTGGGCCATTTATTTCTACACATGGTTAGCATAAATGAGAAATATCAGTCAGTTGGAGTACACGATGCGGACACAGGGTTCACATTGAAATTGGTTCTTAGGGTCTGTGGCATCACAATAACCTCAGAATTAAGGTTCAGGAGGCCAGGTAAAATAAATGAAGTCTCATTCTAATCAACTTAATGGAGACTTTCTCAATTCATGTTCCATCTGGTGACCATTTCCAGAGCTCAGATACATAATCACATAATATGAATGGTCATAATTTTAGGTATAATTCTAAGGAACACAATGTTAGTTCCTTAGCCTGTGACAAAGCCCAAGCACATGGTTTGAAACTACCCCTTCCCTAGGAAAGATAGTAAATTAGAAACATAGCAATAAAGGAGGCATGGCCTTGGTTAGTGTTATATGACAGACATAAAGGGAGCTGTTGATTCCCATTATATGACTTTCCTCTACAAAAATCAGATGCTTCTAGTGGATGAAAGGAAACAACCTCAAACTCTGCCAAGAAGTGGCCTCAATTTCAACATCTGTACTGAGTACAGCAGCTAAAATAGAGAAGATCAGCTCTGCCTCAGGTGCATGTTACAAGAACACTGATTTGGATAGTGTGTTATTTTTATTCATCTGAGAAAGGGTTTTAGTCACAAAATACAGACAAGAATATATCATCATGGTCTTTTTCAGCTTTAATTAATCCTCACTTCTGTCATAGTAAGCCCAAAGGAACCAAGGCTGTCAGAATATAGCATTGCATTTTCCAATTGCATCTGAACCTTCACAATAATGATACATAAGAGCAACAAGGGGTAAGAAAGTTGTCAGCTTTAATAAGATACACACATAAATGAGGGTTGTAGATGAAATCTACAAACTTCAGAGAACAGCTATGTTAGATTTTGGGTTTTTGTTGTTATTGTACTTGCTGTTCCCTTGGGTATGATACATTGTGATACTCCCTTTAACCTAGTAAAGGAAAATAATTCCATTTTGTATCTGTGATCTACTAAGATAAAGCCACACCACTTGTCAATAGTACACTGCTCTATTAATAGATGCCACATACAAAGATAAATGGTAAATCCAAGCTGCCTTCAGCAGAGTCCTATGACATTAAAAACAGAAGACAAGCAACGAAAAAGCTGTTTTTATAAACTGCTAGAAATAAAGTATCTGGGCATGGAATTTATTAAGTAACTACGTGGCCCTGCTGTATTGTTTCCTAGAGATCAACTGCAGGAAAAATTGGGTGAGGCCACAAAGAAGTCAGGGTAAAATAAATGGATTAACACATTTGAGATCAGTCAGGCCAATGTCAGTGAATCCAAGATAGCTGCATGTTCCATACACCATGTACTGATAGTCTATCCTCAGCTATATACGATGTGCCAGTTATTGGAACCGGGAAAAGGCAGACTCTGTTTAGCAAGTCATCTTTCTTGGTAGGCAGATGCCACCAAAAAAAATGAAGTACTGTTACCGTAGCTGGTTAGGAAGCCACAACTACCATTCAGTATTTCTCTTTCTTGTATACAGTTTAGGCTACTTTTCCTTCATGCTGGAAGCTCTGCAACTTTCTGAGTTCTATTTCCATCCAATCCTTCTATCACTGTCTTCAGTGCTTATTCCTTAGGCACTAACTAGTAAGCAAATGTCTACCTAAGAATTGCATTTCCAGAGAGTCTGATCTAGATACTATCTCACTTAGGATGTATCCTTACAAAACACTGAGCATGGGAAATTTGCTCTTTTTCTCAACATTGCTACTGGCAAAATAGTACCAAGTTGCAGAACACTAAACTTTTGAGGTGTGTTAGGAGATAGAATTAAATATGCCCATGGAAGAGTTCCAAAATATATCGGAAAAAAGTCTTTGTTGACAATATATGAAATTATCATGTACAAAACAAAATCAATGGTATTTTTGTTTTCTAAATTAATTCATTAATCATTAATATCACTTAAAATAGCTTACTATTAGTTATTAAATTATAACTAACCACTGTCAGAATGAAATTGAAATCAGTTTATTTTTTATTGGTGATTGGCATGACATCGTAGATTTCTTAACTAAAACAAACACATTTCTATGGTATATCAACCTCAGCATAATTGCAGAAGTAAAATTCAGATCCACCAAAGCATGTGGCAGGTTACACAAAAGTATCCAACTATGTTGAAAAAAATTGATGCTACTTTATTATTAAAAACTGTGTTTTCAAAGACCTTTTCAAATAAAGCAAGTGACATGAAGATACGGTGACCTTCTGGTTAAAGTCAAAATGTCTTTCATTGTAATCAATTTCTTTTCTTAATAGTTCAACATCTTGACTTCTTCTGTCATGTTGTTGAATATCTACTGCATTCCTGTCACTGATGAAAAATAAAAAAATACAGGATTAAAATATTAACAAAAACTTGAATGAATGTTAAATACTAAAATACAAAGTTGAGCTAGAGAGATGACTCAGCAGTTAAGAGCACTGACTGCTCTGGTAGAGGAGCTAGTTCAGTTCCCAGCACCTAATGGTGGCTAGCAACCTCCTGTAACTCTAGTTCCAGGGGGTCCTACACACTCTTCTGACTTCCATGGGCATTGTACAGCATGGTTGCACTTACGTACATGCAGACAATATACTCATACATATAAAATTAAAATAGTAAATAAAATAAAAATAAAAATATATTAAATACAAAGTTGACTAATCTAGATAATACAATAGAAATGTTTGTAGTGTTAATATTTGGTGATATAATTTTTAGAATTGTCATTGCATCACTTGCCACATATGTTTCAAATATATGACTCTTCTAGGGAAAATCATAAAGAATCCCATGGCACTAGGTTTACTAATAATTAAAAGATGGTGTACATGTACATCAGATTATGTATAAGATATGAATGAGGAAACAGATGAGGGATTTAGAGTAATTTTATCTTCCTTAGAAAATAATAATGAAGATATACTGACTTCTACTTATGATTCCCTTCTGCCAATGAATTTCTTCCATGCTCTCTTCTTAAGTTTCACAGAGTTACTTATGCCCTTGAATTCTTAGCATATCTTTTTGAGGAATTCTTCTCTCTACTATCACTATCATCTGCTGACTCCACTCTCAAGACTCTAATTGGCATTATCATTGAAGAATTAGCAAAGAGAAGAAATCCCCAAGGTAATACAGAATGCAAAAATGGTAAGTACACATGTATGTATGCCCAAATGATATCGTGAATCATTTAAAATAGCTTAATGCTCAGTCATTCAACCAACATAACCTTTTTGAAAATGGTATTGGAGGGATTTGGATGTGGAATTGCAGGTTCAGGAGACAAACCACTGAGACATGAATCATCTTTCCACATTTGCCAGCTATCAACCTTACACAAGTTACTTGGCTTTCCTATGTATCATAGCTTCATATACAAAATGGGACTGGTAAATTAGTACTTATCCCTAAGGTGGCTGTGATCATTAAATGTGTGCTTGGTAAAAGTTGATAAACACTCTATGATTTTTTGTCAATTTAATAGAAGTAAAGTTTTCTCATTATCTTTAAAGACATGTACAGTTACTGGCCTGCTTGACTGGGAAGGTTTAATTCATACTCATCACTAGTAAAGAAAGTCATTAGATTAATGAGGGAATAGGTGATCAAGAAAGAAAAGAATTGAGTTTGAGAAAGCAATAAATTTAAGATAGAGCATAGGAAATTCAATGCTAGAATTGATAAGAATTGTGTAGTCACTGGATAAGCACTACATGGGGCTGGGGCTGAGGTAGCTCATTTCCTGATGTTAAATGTTACAGAACAGCAGGTGTCTCTTTCACCCCTTTAACTTGAAATGAGAGCTAAATGATAGATTTTGATATCAAGCTTAGGATATTTAATATATTCTTTTATTTGGTCTCATTTTATTTTTGAAAAATGGTCATGATCATTCACAAAAACATGAAACAATAGAAGACAGACTGTGGTGAATGAACAGTGATGTGACAGTTGTTCTCTAACTGTGGCAAAGAGTACATGGAATTGATCCACACTGACTTAGAACACTCAATCTACTGGTTGTAGAAAAAAAAAAACTAAATATAAACTTTCCTGTTGGGTATCAACACACCTGTGGGTGGAAGCACACACAGGACATAATGATCAATCTTTTAATTTGGCAGTATTATTCCGTATGTACTTTATAGTAAAGAAAATTATAAGAATAGAAAAGACATTGTAACATTT